TGAACCGGTTGAAACATAGTCTCAGTTGAAACATTTCTTCAGATACATACGGCACGTGGAATCGAGCACCTTTCCAACAGGTCGATGTTAACATTACACGAGGCTACAAGTAGGTATATATCGGAACACGAAGGAGGTACCAGGTAGGTTTTGTGATTATCAAGTCCATGCGTGGTGAGATTTTGTTTTTATGAGTCTATTGTTTTATATTCAGTCTTGGACAGAGTTTATCTAGTATGATGCGGTTGCGCAGATGCGCGAAAATGTAGAAATATAAACAATCGATATGTTGGCCTGCACACCTAAATGTTGGCCAGCATATATAATTCGAGCGCAAAGAAAACCTAAATGAAAAATGCCGTCAATTTTAAATTTAGAGATATGGTTTTCGATGCCAGCGCCAGTAGGGGTCTGTTCTCGTGCCGTAGGGATCGTGGTTTACAATGCCAGTGAGAGGTTTGCTAGCTTCAACATGCACAAGGCGCTGGAGACCATGTGTATCATGTGTATCATGGGTATCATGGGCGCAAATCAAGAAGAAGCTGAGCATTTTGAGGCAGCTTCTATTCTGATGGCCATTAATATGCTGGGGCAGTCTCTGGAGTGCCAACTCAAGCTTTATATTCTGTGCTCCAGCTGTCCATCCTGCCATGTCTGCTCTTGCAATTGCAAATTGGCAGCAGGAGTGGTTAGAATTCACTGCGCTTGCCAGAACTTCAAGGCTAACAGATGTCTAAGCGTAGGAAGTGCTTGCAAAATTGAGTTTTTTGCTGGCATTGTAAACTTACTGGCATTGAAAACCAGAACCCCTACTGGCGCTGGAATCGAAAACCATATCTCTACTTATATATATATTTGATCATCTACATTGCAATTATGCAACCGGTTGAAACATTTCCGAACATACATACGGCACGTGAAATCGAGCACCTTCCCACTAGGTCGATGATCACATGATGCATATACCAAGTAGGTTTCACAGCGCGAAGGAGTTATCAAGTCCATCGGTGGTTGGATTTTGTTTTATATTCAGTCTTGGCAGGACAGAGTTTATGTAGTATATACGCTGATGCGCAGATGCGCGAAAATTTAGAAATATAAACAATCGATATGTTTGCCTGCACACCAGGATAATGTTTGCCTATAGCTACATCAGTCTCGTGCCCATATACAATTCGCGCAAAACACAATTAAATGAAAAATGCCGTCAACTTTATGTAAGAGTCGCATTCATCGAGAAAAAACAGGTGTCGCCTAGGCCTCGCCCCGCCTGTTCCCCCCACACACCCATGCCCCCATGGTTCCGACACGCAGTCCAATGATTAAGTAGGTAGCCCTATACCCACTAGCTCCATCACTAGCCCGCACCGCCAGCCGCCAAGCCCCCACAACCGTGGTTGCATGCAGAGCACCCGCACCCCACACCCACACCCCACCGCAACAACAACAACAGCTCGGCCACTCTCAACTCTGCAACTCCTGGACAACGCAAACACAGCGCGACACTTTGCCCCACTTCACCGCAGTCACAAAAGAAACAGCAGAAGCCCTTGGAGCTTAGCGAGCTGCGTAGCGACAACCTACCGAACGAACTTACGTGGCTACCCGTCCACAAGCAAACGCTCTCCCGAATCTGACACGACAGCTATTCGGCTGTGCGATTGATTGACTCACTGCTTTAAACTTCAACTCTCCCGTTCACTCTTTTAAAAACCCCCACTACTATTCATTGCGCCTGTGCCACCAGTCGCACGCAAATCCACCTCCCGTCAGACATTAATCCCCTCATCATTCAATCAAGCGCGGAATTTCTTTCGGCCAGACGCACATCCTACTCCCACTCACAGCCCACTCCCAACGACCCAAAAACACCTGGCTGCCATCGGAGTATTTCCTCTCCCTCTTCCACAGGATAAAGACGTTTCACTCGATTTGCCGACAACAGCAAGGCAATTACTGCTTCACCGGGAAATCCAGAATATGCTCCATTGTGTCTCCGCGGCAGACGATACAGAGTCATCCGTGTGGGTCCAGCAAGAATCAAAAAAGAAGGACCAACAGAGGCAACAAAGGCAAAAGAACCGACAAAATCATCAACAAAAGCAACAACAACAACGCCATCTCCCTCTCCCAAATAACGTTCAAGAGGGGTTCTTTCGATACTACCACACGCCATCCGCCGGAGGAAGTAGTGCCTGGGTCGGTGCGTGCGGGAATAGAATCTGGAGGAAAGGCGCGAACGTTAGTTGAAGTGTGTGACTGAATCTAGCAGATCAAAGAAGGATACCCCAGAAAAGGATACCCCAGAAAAGAAAACCAACACAATTACGGCAGTTTTTTTTTTGAGAAATGACCAAGAAATCAAAGTCTAAGAAGCCGCAAAGTGGCCGTGGTAGCGGAAGTGGTAGCTCGGCAGCCACTGCCGCAGCCACAGCATCCACAACTCCACCACCACCTTCACAGCCAACGTTTAGCGCCGATGCGAATCTTGCGATCCTCCAAGTTTGTTCCTCCTCCTCCTCCTCCTCCTCATTCTTCTCCTCGTCATTATCATCACCTTAGCTACGCATCCCACCGCACCCATTTGACTGACATATTTCCGTACGAGCAATAAAAACAGGAGGAGTTTGCAAGTCGACTCGATGCGGCCTTGATTGCAGCAATGCACAGCGACACCCCCGATAACCTCCACATCACGCGCGAGCGGCTCCAAAGCCTTGCCTCTGACACGATCCTCTCTCCCGAAGATCCCACCAGCTTCCAAGTAGCAGCAACAATTCCAACCCCACCCCCAACAAACTCAGTCTCGGACGATACCAATTCGACGCTGGGCTCGGATGGATCGGCGCCGACGTACTCCAGTGCAACCAATTCAGTAGACTTTGACTGGGAGGTACACAATGTCTCCGAGGACCACGACTTTGTAGATACTCAGGATGAAACTGACCCAGACGCAATCTGGGCGGTTGCGACTGCGGAGCATGCGGCAAAGGAGGATAAACTGCGCTATCTGATCAAATGCTTCCCGACGACGCAGCCGTTTGCGGTAAGACGGTGCCTGGAGAGCAACTCGTGTGATCTCGATAGGGCTTTTGGAGAGCTCCTCGATCGGTGCTTTACGCTCGCGGACAACGGGTCTGGTGCGGGTGGAGGGCCCAAGGGTGTCAGTGCTTTCGAGGCACTGGAGAATGCGCCGAACGGGGGCAGGAATCGGAAGGGGAAGAAAGTCCGGCACCGAAATCAGAGCAACGATCAGAACATCAGCAGCGCTCTCGATCGGAGAAACTCGCTTCCTCCGGTGTTGGAGGCGACGGCGAGGGAGTCGGACTGGAAGAGGGTGGAGCAGGAAGTCTCACTTCTTTCGTACGCGCTCAACGTCCCCCACGCAACGGTTGCATCGGCATACCACGCCACGGGGGGTAACGTCTCGGCCACCGTGCGGAACCTGTTATCGAGCGAAAGCAAGGCGCTGAAGGCTGCGGCCGAGCATGACTCGTGGCTGGACGAGCGCGAAAAGGCAGCGTACTCGATCCTTCAAGAGTCTTGTCCGGATGTGCCCACGTGGGTCGTCAAGGCCATGATTAAGCTCGCGACGGGGGCGTGGGAATACGGGTCAACACCCCCTCCGCCGAGTGCACTTGTGCCTCCACCTCTGCCCCCGGCACCAGCAAAGGCACCTGCCGTGGCGAAGGCCAGGGCAGGTGCGCTGCCTCCACCGCCATCAATGACCGGATGGAGTGTTACCGGTAGAGGGGGCGGCGGCCCATCGAATCACTACGCGCGCACACATGCCCACCCCCCTCCGCCCCCGCCTCAAACTCCACAAACAAAACCATCAGCCTCCAATAACTCCCGCCGTGCAAGCGAGGACGTCGACGCAGCCCTCACAGACCTCTGGTCAATCTGCTCGCACCTCCAAAACTACCCACCGCCTTCCACCTCCACAACCACAGCAAGCACCGCAAACTCCTCCGTCCCACCCACCCCCACCACCCCCCTCGCCCCACGCTTCGCCTCCACCACCCAGCAACAATCCACAATCACAATCAACCCGCGCCACGTGCCGCCCTCCTCAATCCCCACCCTCACCTCCTTCTCCCTCTCCCACACCGCCTCGCAACGAAGCACCCTCTACCGCCGCGCAAACTCTGCAAACCACCTCGGCCACGCATCCGCATACTACGCCGCGCAGACCCGCCTCCTCCTCGCCTCCGCCACGGCCGCATCAAATCTCCTCCCTCGGCCAACAATCACAACCTCGATCGACAGATCTGACGGGTACGTCCTTCTCGACCTCCACGGCTTCCGTATGGCGGATGCAGTCGAGGCTGCGCTGGGGGTGGTGGAGACCTGGTACCTCGAGAAAGGTAATTTAGAGCCTGTCAAGGTCGGGGATAGTAGACGGAGAGGAGGGGCTGGCGGGGTCAGGATTGTTGTCGGGAAGGGGAGACATAGTGCTGGTGGGAGAGGGGTGTTGGGGCCTGCGGTTGTGGGGGCGTTGAGGAGGGAGGGGTGGTTGGTTGAGGTAGGTGGGGGGTGGGTGCAGGTTAAGGGGAGGTGGAGGAAGTTATAGAAAGAGGGGAATCGGGGCGAGATAGGCTCGGTCCCGAGAGCAGGGGGTGTAAGAGGAGGAGGAGGAGCAAGAGGGTGAGGGGTATGGGGGGGTTAGTGGATGGGAATGGACGGGGATGAGAGAAGACTAAAGGAAAGATGTAGCTGCAGTGAAGTATTTATGGGTAAGTAAGTATACACTTCAGTATACATTTTAGAAGTATATATGTAACATGGCTGTAGCCCTAGCTTTTAGCTTCTCGATCACATATAATATATTTTATATCGCTATTTTATCCCACCGTACTTCCATCTCTACATCCCGTGCATAATCCTCCATCATGTCTTCTTGGGTCTCGTGAAATATCACAAGTCACCGCTACGTTCTGTATAAGAGAGATACTTTCAACATAAGCCCCCCCCCAACACCCCAGATCGACATGTTCACTGGTTGAATGGTGTAACGGTAGCACATAGGATTTTGACATGAATCCTCTGACCCTCCTCGTGAGGGGTTGAGTTGATTAGATGTTCCTGCGACCTGGGTTCGACTCCCAGTTCGACCTTGCTTTGTTTTTTTATTTTCAGAGGTTTATTTGGGGGCGGGGGGTGGGGAAGGAGGTGGCTTAGGTGGCGGTGTACGGATTTTCCGCGTGGGAATGGTGGGGGTGGAGGGGTGTTCTGTGGAGGGGGTGGGTGTATTGTAACTCTTAATTATATTATCATATATACCGTTCAAGATTCCAGTGGTTGAGGCGATAGTGTTTCCTTGTTTCTTTTCCTTAAGCTTTCGATTCCTAATCTGAAGAACTATGCAGGCTAATTAAATCTGGACGTTCGAATTCATCGCAGTCGAAAAATCAGAGGGATGATTTGAGTACAATGGCATAGATTTGTCCACTATCGGAACAACGTTAAAACGTCTTTTTTTTTTTTGGGGGGGGGGGGTATACCGTACAGTGTCCATGGAGAACGAATGAATGGCGCGCGAAAGTATGTTTATGTTTATGTTTATGTTTATGTTTATGTTTACTCGGGTAGTATACTGCAAGCTAGCTGTGTTACCTAAAAAGTGTCTTGGTAGGGAGGGGGTGGGTAGGTGGGTAACGTATGTCGTCATAGATTGTGTATTGTGTAGTACGATTGTTCCCAAAAGGGGCTTTTTGTTTAGTTTCATGTTATTTGCGTGTAGGGAAGTTGTTGGCGCTTTTTACGTTCAGTTTACCTAAGTAAGTAGAAACCTGGGATTTAGGTTACGTGGTTATGAGATGTACATGTGTTGAGTAGAGGTAGAGGTAGAGGTAAAATTTGGAATTACAAATAGAATATTTACCCAGGCAGATTTCGGAATCTGGTATACAGAGCAAAAGATTCCATGTCAACATGAACCTTCGCTCACGATCAAGGTGGTCGAGAACTGGTGGAGAGTTGTCCATGATCCATGGTCACGAGACTAGAACCATGGTATGGATGCAACCCTCCACATCCAGTCTAGCGATCTTCAATTGCAAGTCAAATTTACTCCACTCAACTCCACGAGCTCGAGACTAGAGTTACTCTAACTTAACGTCGGATCCTCCAATCAACCGACCATAGCTCTTGGCGTGCGTATCTGTTGCACGATAGGCCAGAGGCACCACCGAGAATGTGTGGTTTAGATACATACTAACTGGAAGAGGTAGATCTAGAGGTACGGTAAAGGGGAGAGAAGGCCTATTTCGAATAGCGTTCGACGAGGCAGCAGCCACCCGAAGCCTCCTTTTTTTTTTTTTTGCGCGAGCTATAGACAAGCTTTTGCCACAGACTAGGTTATGGATTGGGTACCTCTCTCCTTGATATTCACAACAACAGCAACCGCAGCGACGACGAGGACGACGGACGGTATCGCGAGGTTAAGACTTGTATTTTGTTATTTCTCCGCTTTTGGATATTCGGCGATTTACTGCGGTTGAGGGTTTCGTCAACACATACTCCACGTCAGATAGCTACTTAACCAAAGAAAGAGCTTCTTTCAACACCTCCCACCCACCCAGCTATCTCGGGATCCAGATCCTCGATCCACCAAGTCCACACGACCACGGATACCGATAGAGCGCGACCACCAACCCCCTACCACCTATCCCTCATCCCGCTTACTTGCCCAACACTACTTCCGCCCAATTCCCCATCAACCATCATCACGAACTCAAAGACAAAAAAGAAAAAGATAAAGACAACGATCCCACAAACCATGAACGGCACAGTAATCCCCTCGGTCGTCGAGACAATCCCATCATCTCCACCAACATCAGTACGAACGAAATCCCACATCGATCTTGAATTGGCTCCGGAATACGTCTCCACCCTCCCCACAAACATAAAGTCCCTGGCGACGAAACAATTCGACGAGCTGGTTCGGATCGGGGAGATTCGCTATAGCCCATCGATACCCGAGATTGTGGAGGACGGGGGGTTCAGGGTAAGTCACCATCCACCATTCCCACCAATTACCTTACCTCATTAAAAAGAACCTGTAATTTTCCTTACTGATACACGCAAAAAAAAAAAACAGGTCCAATTCCGCATAGCAGGAATGGCCCTGACAGATAAACCCACAAACCCCCCAACCCCACGCACGACCCCCGCAACCTCCCTCCCAACATCAACCTACCCCACCCCGACACACTCCCCAATAATAACAACAACAACAACAGCAACTACAACATCCTCCACCCCCTCCACCCCCGCCAACCTCCAACAAAAACCCCCAGCACCATCAGGCCCCTTCATCAACCCCGACCCGCGGTTCGTCGTCACCAAGCTCGGGGAGAACAACTCGCACACAGTCCTGCTGAACAAATTCCCCATCCTGCGGCCGCAATTGGTGATCCACACGACCGAGTTCCAGCCGCAGAGCGAGCCGTTGAACGAGAGTGATGTGCGGGTCGGGGTGGAGGTGTTGAGGGCGTTTAACCGTAGGGCCGAGGACGGTGCCGAGGGTGAGGGCGACGGAGATGATGGGGATGGGTACATGCTCTTCTTCAATTGCGGGGTCGGGAGCGGTGCCAGCCAGGCACACAAGCACATGCAAGTCGTTCCGCGGCCTCACGGGGGTGAGAAGCCTGGGGGGTTTTCGTTATTCCCGGATCTAGGGGGGTTGAATATCGGTACGGACGTCCTTTCTAGAATTAATTTCAAACACAACACGATAGTTGCATAAGCATAACATATATACTGACAAAAGCACACGTTTTTAAATTTTAGACACCCCCACAACCCTCCCCACAATCCCGTTCACGCACTACATCCTCCCCCTGCACCCAGAAACCTCGACCCCGGAGTTCATCTACACGCAGTACCTCCGCCTGCTATCGCTCATCCTCCCGGCATACCCGGACCACAACGTCATCGTGGTCCCGGAATGGATCATGGTTATCCCGCGGCGCTTCCCGATCCTTGACGGCGCGGCGGCGAATGCGGTGGGGATGGTGGGGATGATTTGGGTGAAGGATGAGGAGGAGAGGAGGGTTTGGGTTGAGGGTGGGGTGAGGAGGAGGTTGGGGTATTTGGGGGTGCCTATAGGAGGGGAGGAGAAGGAGGGGGATGCGGTACAGGGGCAGGTGCCGGTGGTGGTGAATTAGTTGAAAGGAAGATATATCTGGGTGCTTGCAAGCTTCAAGTCTAATGGCTCTGAGATCTTGGATGTACTGGAAATCATTCTTCTATCTTTAGCTTAATGATTAGATGTTTTCTCAATTAGCCCCTCATCAATGCTTTTATTCTTTCTAATCTTTTTTTGCCTAGACAAGGGACGACCTGGAGCGGAGAAGAGAAGTCAGGGGATGGAGATACATACATAGACTGGACGCTCAAGTGTAGAAATGTATTAGTTGCATCCTTGCCTCACAAATGTGCCAATGAATCACAAAATCTGTCATAGTTATGCGTGAATGTGATCGTTTTACAAACTTCATCTAAAGAAAAATGTATAAATAGTATCTGTAGAACAGTAACGCGCAAACCACTCAATCTAGGTTGCATAAAACCTGGATCTTCCGGCAGTTTCTAATCTTAAAACAGGGCTTGAAATGTACTGTAGTCCTGGCTCTAGATCTTGATAGGATTTAATCTAATTAAATATACGAATTATAATTAGGTACTTACCTCTTACTTAGGCCTCCGGATCCACGTGATTGACTTATAGTCACTCAAAGTACCTTTACAGCTGCAACGAAGTGTTACATATCTACTCCGCAAATAACTGCATGCGCATTCGCACAAATCAAATACAAAAAAAAAAAATTATGTATCAGGATCCTGATCCTGATAACGTCCACGAGGCCTTGGCTTTTACTCTATTGATTTGAGGCAACTTTATTGCGTGCTTACAACCAACCGCACACTCTCAAACTCTCACTCACGTTGACTTGAATCCATCGAGGGTAAAATATAGCTTCCAAATATCGATCTCCTTCAAATTATGGCAAATTGAAGATCTCGGTCTGGTATGCAAGTGGTTTCGAACTGATTCGTCTTTCATTTCCCGCGAGCTCGAGTGAAGGAAGTACCTTATGTAATTACCAAGTACGTAGGGATCCTGGGAAGGAGCTCACGACTACGATAGTAGCAATTTAGCGCCAGCTAGGTGTTCGATCCTGGAACAGCATTTTATAAGCCAGCCTGAATCCAAAGCTAGCTGCCCATTCATCCATGATATATATCGATATGCAGCTATCAAATACCTACCTAGGCACCCACCTACCTCTTCTTGCACATTACATGCACGTGACTTCAAGTCTTGGGGCGGCAGCACGGGATATCGATCTTTTTTTTTATCTTTTTTATTTTGTTCTTTTTATAATCAGGGGTATCGATCTCAGTGAGTTCCTCCAAAAGCTGGCAAGAAACTAAAAACGCAAAGCTCGGCATTTATATGTTGATTTCGATAGATGCCAGTATAATATTCAGGATGATTGATTATGCAAGTAAATTTGAATGGATTACATTACATCTACAAGGGCTCGAGAGTAAGATGTCTAGTACCTAATGCAAGGGTTGAGCGCGGGAATTCAAAATAGGGTACGGAGTAGGTACTGAAAGATCAGCTTCATGGATTCACAGAGTCCGAGACTACCTACTCTAGGCCTAGGTAGGTAGTCACTCCAGTACGGCTACAGCTGGGGCTTCGAAAGTTCAGCAACCGTGAATCATCGAGCCTGGGCTCTGGATGTCGATATCAATATCAATATCGATATCATGTTTTCTCAACCTACTTACATAGTACATCACTACCTAGATACCATCCCGTTAGAGGCCAGTCATCCGTACCTTCCTTCCTATTTGGACAGTTGGCGAAGCTCCTTACTCACTTCGACGGAGCATGGCATAAAATCAGCGCGTTTCAATTGCTGGACAGGCCTGTTGCCTGGTGAAGGTCTGCGCGCTCGTGGCCTACACGCCGGACCGCGTCGACATCTGTTTCGGCTCGTCGTACAAGCTGCTGACCAGGCCTCGTCCCCGTACAACACGTGTTCCTCACCCTCGCGCCCGCGCATCCGACCATTCAGGCAACGCGCAGAGTTATATC